GGTATTGACAGGTCTTGTCACCATTTAATGCCCATTAATGCTTCCAACCACTCCTGAGCGATCACGTGTGGCTTGGAAAATGCTTTTGCACAGATTCTGGCATGGGTCTTCACGCCACCGCCCATTTCAGAGGTCACTTCCCCCAATCCACGCCTGCTGCTGCTACCTAGGCTGAAAAATAGCTGTTATCACAACTTCCCAGGAATTTCTGTCAAAGAACCAGTTCAAACTCTGTTGGCGCCTTAAATGTTCAAGATATCCACAAGAACTTTGCCTATAAATAGAAAGCTTTCACCACTGCAAAAGAGGTTCAAGAAGTTCAAGAAAAAGAAACAGAAAAATTGCTAAGAGAGAAACGAAACTCCTAGCAACACAACATTCTGAAACTCTGCCAAAATTTCCAGCCTTGTGTCATAACTTTAAGTTTCTCACCTTCAACTTCATCAAACACCCAGCCCTTTTTCTGTAAACCAAAAACGTTCTTTCCAAACTTCTGACCCTATACACGTATACGCCTTCACTTCCCTTTTCCCAAATCTGTCCAGAACACCACCAGAACTAAAAGCTAACTTTCACCCACCATTTTCCAGAAAGTCAGGTAAGCACCTGCTGACCCTCACCACACTGTTAAGCATCATCAGCTGTGCATATTCAAGTAACATAATGTAAATATTCATGTTATTGCTGTTTATGTTCTGAGGACTCTCATACCTCAGAATGTCCTGAGCCAGTTTAGGACCTGCCTGTGACCTTGGTGATTCTGACCTCTGAGACGTTTTGCTATTTTGCTGGATCTGTTCCAAATATGTTTTCTGTTTTGTGGAGTAACAACAGGATTGCAGATGTTCTGATTAGTGCAGGAAAAAGCCAAGTACTGACTTTGACGTTAGCACATCTGAAGCCTGTTTTGCTGTCAATAACATCAGAACCTCTGAGAGTTATTACCTTTTCAGCAGAATCTGAACTTCTAGGTTCTCCACTAACAAACTTCTGTCTTGCAGCGCAGGGAAATCAGAACTTCTGGTTTCCCCACTAACAAGGGTCTGTTTTGCAGGTTCTAGAATCAGAAGTTCTGACTCATCCAGTTTCACCAACAGGTTGATCATCTGACAGCGGATCTGGGTCAGAACTTCTGATGGCCTCCCAACAGCGCGCAGGCTCCCTCCCTCTCTCTATATATCTTGTTTTCCGCTATTTTCTTTTTTGTCTATTTTTTCTCGTTGAACCCCCCATGTACAAATGTGTATCCCCCTCCCCTAACTATTGTAATAGCGTAGGATTTTACATTTCCGCTTCTTATTGCTAGTAATTAGGACATGTATGGCAAGATAAAACTCAATGAAATAGAAAAAACCTAATTCAAAGAAAAAAACTCTTGTATGCAATAAAACACACTTGCACACTAACACCCCTAGGGTTATATCCACTTGTTTCCCTTCAAAATTGGGCCACATTGCATGTTAGGTCTCTTTGGGCAAAACAAACAATTTAAAAGATCATGGTCCCTCGATAATTTTTTTTTTTCAAAAAAACAAAATGATCAAGTCCCTTAAAGAAAATGCCCAAAGATACTTGGCACCATTGCAATTATGGTCTAAACGATGACCCGCGCCCGTCCCTTTCACATCCTAACACAAGATTGTCCACCAAATACAATGATGGAATAAACTTGTTAAAAGGGTTAAAACATAGCAATAATCTTTTGAGAAATTTAGGAGTAGACAACCTCTTAGTTACTTGAATCAAGCTTGCAAAACAAAACACTTGCCTAAATTCAAAAATCACACATCACAACACTTTCAAAACAAACTTTCAAAAACAAATGAAAACCTTTTCAAAAGACATACATCTTTATATACATCCCCACATGGATCATTACAAAGGTTGCCACCACATTGGCCTCTTTTCAAAAACATTTTCAAAACCCACACCCTCAAGCACCATTTAAAACAATTGAAAACAAAAGGCAAGTGATCTAAGCAAGTAACTAAGAGCCCATGGATAACCATGGATAGAAAGGGTGCTAATACCTTCCCTTTCTATAATCTACTCCCCGAACCCAAGAAAACATCTCAAAAGGTTTTTGCTGTGCTTTTTAACCTTTCCTTAGGATAAAATAAAAAGTCGGTGGCGACTCTTGCTAACCGCAACATTTGCGAATACAAACGCAAAACCTCAAGTCAGTTCTCCCACCGTATCACAGAACTCTATCTCCTTCTCCATGCCAACCAGAGTATCTACAACTTAGTCATTTCTCAACAAAAATGGAAAATGCAAACATAGAAGTCATGGAAGATTTCATCAAGGTTTCAGAAATACAAAGCATCAGAATTCTAAACCAGGAACAAACATGTATTTGGCTAATTCTAACTCTGACACATAATTTCTTCAAGAAATTCTTATATGAAATTCTCTCTACTTAGGAAAAAAATACATGAAATCTATGATTATATATAAAATCAGAATCAGGATGTCTACATTGTATTTTTGAACATGCAAGCCTAACAATGCCTAAGTAATGAGATAAAAATCAGAAGAAACTTGCCTTGCAGCTGTAAATTGTTCTCTGAGCTAGAGCTTGGTTCTGACTGATGTGATGTTCTTGTCAGCTTCTTCCAGTTCTCAGAAAGCTAGAACAAACCCCAACTTGAACTATGAATGGCTGGAATGTTCTGGAGAAGCCAAGAAGTAAAGTTCTGATTTTTTGAAATAAAAATTTGGTGAAGATTGTGTTACAGTATGAAAACAGTAGGTGGGACGGTTTCTAAATGTATATCAGAAACTGCGTGAGTGATTTGGCCAAGAAATATGCAAGAAAAATTAGAGTTTGCAGTTAAAAAACAGAACCTTAGCAGGTTTCATGTTTGGGCTGTAGCTTCAAGTTCTTGGGAAGTTTTAGCAAGGTTTCAAGGCTTTTTCTCAAATCTTCGACCCTTTTCACAGTTGCAAATGAAGTTCAACTTATGGGCAAAGGATTTTGGAGCTTGGAGAAGTCAAGAGTACAACCATCATATGTTATGGCGCTGACTTGTTCTTGAAGCAAGTTTGGACAAGTATGGATCAAGGCAAAATAGAGTGGTTAGCAGCTTTTAGCCGTGCCTAATATTATTTTGTAGAAATGATTTATGGAGAAGTAAACCCAGAAACAAAAGTAAAGCATGGGCCCAACATAAACTTTGTACAAAAGTTTGCTTTTCATGGACAACAATGGTACTTTCAGGCCACGCGTGAGAAGATCCTTTGGATAAAGAATCAGAAGTGGGTGTGAGCATTAAATGATGATGAGATTTAACAAACGAGAAAACCTGCAACATGAGATTATGCATCATAGCTTGAAACTGGATCAGAAGTTCAGCATAAACGTAACTTAAATTAAGAACAAATGTCCAACTTCTGATCTTTAAATCTCCCTATTCCAGCATGTTCTGAAGGAGTTCTCAGTCTTTTCAGAAAGCTTGTAACATGCTTTGCAACCTCTCTTTGAATCATCTTAGCAAACTCTGACTGAACCTACATAAAAAAAGGCCCAGAAGTTCTAACCAAATTCTGACTTGGAAACGCTAAGAATTTACCCATTGTTTTAGTTCCATGGACGTGTTTTCAAAGATCTATAACTTGAAATCTGAGCATTTCTAGAAGTTTTGTTCTGCAATTTTTTAAATCTCGTTGAGATCTACAACTCTTATGTTAGAAGTTCCCCCTGAACCAGCTTGCATTATGATGAAAATCTGGCCAGAAGTTCTGAACTTATCATATTTCTTAACACTTAGAAAAATTTCTAAGTGTTTAGAATTTTGACTTTTCCAAAGTAATTTTGACTTTTGATTTTCTTTATGAAACAAAATTCATATTCTAACATGTCTTGATGAAATTTGATTCTTGAAACTTGATTTTGATCCAAAAGTCAAAGTTTGACTTTTCAACGTGCACTTGGCAATTTTGCCCTTGTGCCAATTCAAGCCCAAATTGATGTATCAATACTTCAAACTTGGTTCAAGGAAGATCTTGTGAGAAATTTATTGGGAAATGAGAGGGCAAATTCTTGGGTACAACAACATTCAATAAAGCGCCCGAGGTTCAAAGTTCAATGGTTGTGCGATATCAGGGTTTCACAATGATTAAAGTGTATATACCTGATAAAGCTGATTACTTCCAACTCTTGTGGTTATTCTACAAGCAGTGAAGTTTGGAATTAGGGTTGTGTCATGTGGTTACCTTGAACTTTTTTTCCTTAAGATATAAGGCCATAAGGGTTTACTTCCCTATGTGCAGCCAAGGTCAGGGTTTTCAGCTATTATGTTCGGTTAAGGATTCTTCTCCAAGGATCATGGTTTGGGGTTGCATCTTTTGGTTATCTTAAGTCTCTCTCATTCAAAATTAAAGATGTTCATCCATTACTCGTGTTACAAGTTCTGTCATCACTTCTTGGATTTTCTTACAAAAGCTTGACTTTCATCTGAAGCTTTCTCTTAAGTGATGAGCATTTGGTTCTATCCAAAAGAGTGTGGGAATCATCTGCTCCTATTTTGTGGGATAGGGGTTTCGACAAGATTATTGATTCCATTGAGGTTTTATTAAAACTATCTTTCAGAATCCAAAGGTAAATTCGTTGTTGAAGCTCCCAGAGGTTGATTATGGAAATGATACGGTGGAATCATCTATTCCTTACTTCATCAATTAGAAGTTTTTGTATCATGTTTCAAAATTGCTTTTCTAGTTAACTGTGGGCTATTACAAGACAAGTGAATTAATTCAAAGTTTTTTTTCTTGATTCAACCGTGACTATTACAAAATTAAGAACTAGACCATATACACTTTCAACCATTCAAAATTCCATAAAAAGTGACAATTTCAATACAACTCATGAATATATTACATCAAAGGCCATAAACCAAAATTCAGTTACATCCAAAAATCAATCATGTCACCTATGTCACATTTCAAAGAAAACTATAAAAATGTTACAAGTTAACTAATGTCCTAATTCTATGAGCTTCGTGTCAAACTTCATGCTTCCAAATTCGATGCATCTTGCTATGCCATGCTAGTTTCAGCTTTGCACCATGGACTATTGGATCAAACCATACAAACCGTGCTATAGCCCTGCTCATTCAATTCAACATAACTATTTAAAATTCCAACACAGACTCGCAACCTGCATAAATAAACAGACGCATTTCTCTGCATGTAAAAAACCTCAAAATTAGTTCACAATAAAGACTGCAAATATGTTCTAAAGCCAGCCCGATACAGATTAGAAATATGCCCCTGTATTGAAACCATAAAACTGTTATCATAAACCGCCCCACTACTGATATAACTGGCCTGAAATACATAAGCCAGTAAAACAGTTGTCCATAAAAATCAGTGCACCCTTTGATTGCATTGCAAGCAAACTGACTCACCTGTATTAAACCATACATCCCATGTGCATAAAAATACAAAGAGTCAAATTACCATATCGTAAAATTCTGCAACCAATTTACAGGCTTCCTTTCACTTTAAATTCGAAGGCATTTGAATGGATCCTTATTTGTACATCACGAGAAAAACCCTACGTTAAGCTGTATGGTGCCCTGCTGCATCAAACACCAACCAGCCGCGAGCTTGCTTCAAGCCCTTTGTCGCCAGTTCAAACCTGTCCACACATTCTACAATGAAAGTCATTGCTGCCTGCATCAAATAACCAAACAGAACCCAACATAATTGGGACCAGCATAATCAGAAAATAGCTCGTCATCCTAACCAAGTTTCTAACGGGCTAACAAAAACATATCCAATAACAGAACCAACAGGTTTCCAACTTACAACCAACTATTTTCATTTTTAATTCTCTAACAGAATTAGAAAATAACTTCAACTAACATTTTCTTTTATCAAAGCTAGCTGATTAACCGAGTTATAACAGATTTCTCTAACCAACTCACTCTCAAAACATAATTCAACATAACTAACTACCACCTCCAATCTCATCAATCAAAATCCCTAACTAACATTCACATTAACAGTTCAAGTTTATTCAGCTCTAACTAACTAGCTAACCATAACAGATTTATATAACAGAAAAAACTTACCTTTGATAAGGATCCACCCTCCAATTCTGAAAAGAATCCCAAAAAACTCTCTCTTCACTCTGATCTTCCTTCTTCTTTATCCGCAATCTTTATCCCTTTCACTTATTCTCCACCATCTTCTCTCTCTGCTTCCTTCTCCATCACCACCCTCTACATTTCCCTCACGTTCTTCAAACATCCCCTTCTTCTACAGCTTCTCGAAGCTTCAATCACCTACATCATCTTCTTCTTCAACCTTCAAGAGCCATCATCTTCATCAAGCTGCATAAGCTTGTTTCAATTTTCATCTGGTTATTCTTCGCTTATCAGCATCATCTGCTTCATCAATATCACAACAGTCTTTGCAGATCCTCCATTGTCACCTTCATCAATTCAACAATCGAATCCCCATTTTCAGCTTAAAAACTGTGGCATCATCATCACGTTGTCATAAATAATCCTATGAACAACGAACCTGTAACAACAACATCACAACAACTTCAATAGTGCAACCTAAGTTACATATGGAAAATGAAAAATCAGAAGAAGAAGTCTCAAAGTCGAGAGTCAGAAGAAGATAAAGAAACTAGGGAATTGATAAAGTTACCTCTGAATACACGCCGGAGTTCGTTGCCACTGTATCAGAATTGCTAAGCTTCAAACAAGTTTCCATTAATACTTTCGGTGCTTGCTCCTTTTCGATATAACACTCGGTGTACGTCGAGTATCATGAATCCTTGCGGTTATCGCTTGCACTACTAAAAAAAAGACATTTGAGAAAAGGTTTTTACACCGGGTATCAAAATATATGATGTAAAAAAATACAATTAACAAACTTTTTACATCAGGTATTTATTTGCAATGATATAAAAAATATGAAAAAAAATATATTTCGCTACCTATTACATCGGGCAAACGCATCCACCGATGTAAAAAGTTTTCAGAAAAAAATACGGTGGCATTTTTGTAAATAAGAAACAAGGTAGTAGAAATATTAATAAAAAACATGCAACATATTACATCGGTTGACTAAAAACCGATGTAATATCTTCACAACAGATATTAATATAAAAAATAAATTAAAGAATAAATTAATTTTTTTGCAACTTATTACATCGGGTATTACAATGCACCGATGTAATAGGTGCATTGTAAAAAAAAAGTCAGAAAAAAAGCTTCAGGAACCGGTTCATACCTAACAGGGAACCTGGTTCCAAACTTGTTCAAAAATGACTTCCCTGGAATTTGTACCAGGAATCGGGTTGTACCTATAAGGGAACCGATTCCTGCGTGTTATTTTTGAATTCTGGGTTGTAAAAAAAAAAGAAGCTTGCCAACCCTTACATCGGGTATTACAATGCACTGATGTAATAGCCATCCAACCCTTACATCGGGTATTATAATGCACCAATGTAATAGGTGCCAAACCCTTATTTCCCAAACATTTCCCAAACAGTAGAAAAATTACAACTCCATTTTCCCCTGTTCGTGTTTCCGATTCTGGTCGCTTCCGATTCCGATTCCGTCTTCCTCAACCCCGCCCGATTCCGATTGCCACCGCGACTGCCTTATGCCCGCCCAATTCCGATTCGGTAATATTCTTTGACCGCCGTTTCGGCCTCCGTTTCCGGTCTTCCTCTTCGACCGCCGTTCACGACTTTTCACCGGCCGATTCACGCCCTTCCTCGCTCGCCGTTTCAACTGTAAGTCACATTCTTCACTTATTTGAAATAATACTATGTTTAAGATCTATTTCAGGAAAAAAAAAGTCAGAAAAAAGCTTCAGGAACCGGTTCCTACCTAACAGGGAACCGGGTTCCAAACTTGTTCAAAAATCACTTCCCTGGAATTTGTACCAGGAACCGGGTTGTACCTATAGGAGAACCGGTTCCTGCGTGTTATTTTTGAATTCTGGGTTGTACCTATAGGGGAACCGGGTTTCTACTGTAATGAAAAAAGAAAGGACCAAAATAAATTATTTCAACATCACAATATTTATATGTTGCATCCTTTTAGTATTATAATAATAATTTACAGCCAAATCCTACTGCCTTGATTCTAACTACAAATATCACAAAACTTGACATAATGATTTTAAAAATATAACTTGACAATTTGATGATGTTTGAAATAGTTCAAAATCACCCTTACATATTGCATATGAATGTTGTATGTTGCACTCCTCAATATTTCCATCAACTTGATAAGTAGCACCTTTTTTCTCAATAAAAAGTTTTGTAGGCTTGAGTTTCAAGTTTTGAAATCTTAATATAGTTATCACCTTGCCATTGAAATTTGATTATATTTTGCTTTCTCCGCAAAGCAGCGCAACTTGCAATCTCGGAATCTCCGTGAAGTAGCGCAGCCGCGGGCACACCGTTCGTCAGACCTTCCTCCGTGTGAACATAGTTATGGATCGTAGTTGGATGAGAGCTAATCGATTAAGTGACGAGTACGAACATGGAGTGATGGAATTTCTACAGTTTGTTGACAGTAATGCTGACAAAAGTCTTCCTACGCTTTTTCTCTGTCCATATGTTCGTTGTGCAAATAAAGAACCAAAACGTAGTAAGAAAGAAATCATGGATCATCTAATTTGTGTAGGGATTTGTCAAAGTTATACAAAATGGATATGGCACGGTGAAGTAGTAGCAAAGTCAAACGTGTCTCAAATAGATGATGTTAGTGTAGAAATGGATGATCGTCTAGAAGACATGTTGCGTGATATTGGACAAGATTCGTTTAAGAGGGCACATGCGTATGATACTTTATGCAATGACAAAGATAAACCATTGTACATGGGATGCAAAAACTTTACACGCCTGTCATCCGTGTTAAAATTATTTAATCTGAAGGCAAAGAATGGGTGGACTGACAAAAGTTTTACCGAGTTGCTTGAATTGTTGACCGAAATGCTTCCAGAAGGTAATGTAATGCCAAGTCGTTATTACGAGGCGAAGAAAATATTGTGTTTGATGGGTTTGGAGTATGAAAAGATACATGCATGCCCTAATGATTGCATATTATACAGAAAAGAGTATGAAAAGTATAATCATTGTCCAAAATTCAAGGCTTCACGCTACAAAAAGAAAGATGGTGAATCAATTGATGATGAGGTGGTCAAAAAGGGTCCTCCTGCGAAAGTCGTATGGTACCTACCAATAATTTCAAGGTTTAAGAGATTATTCGCCAATGCAGATGATGCAAAGAATCTTAGATGGCATGCAGAAGAAAGAAAATATGATGGACAAATTCGTCATGTAGCCGATTCTTTGCAATGGAAGAAAATAGATTCTTTGTTTCCAAATTTTGGCAAAGAGTCGAGAAACCTTAGACTTGGACTTGCTACTGATGGAATGAATCCGTTTGGTAATCTGAGTACTAACCATAGTTCTTGGCCTGTTCTCTTGATGATTTACAACCTATCTCCTAGGATGTGCATGAAGCGTAAATATATTATGTTATCGATGATGATATCGGGCCCAAAACAACCAGGAAATGACATAGACGTTTATCTAAGTCCACTGATTGATGATTTAAGAGTGTTGTGGGAGGAAGGGGTGGATGTTTTTGATGCGTATTCTGGTGAACAGTTCAATATGCGTGCCATGTTATTTTGCACCATCAACGATTTTCCGGCGTATGGTAATTTGTCTGGGCATAAAGTTAAAGGGCATAATGCGTGTCCTATATGTGAAAAAGATACTTGTTACCATCATCTTGAAAAAGGAAAGAAGACCGTTTATCTCGGGCATCGAAAAGTTCTAAAACGTTATCATCCATATCGTAGATTGCGGAAAGCTTTCAATGGGGAACAAGAGCATGGTGTTGCTTCAAAGCCCTTGTCTGGAGAGGAAGTTTATCGGCGACAACAGGGACTTGATGTTGTCTTTGGAAAGTACCAAAAACGATCTACTGTGAAAAATGTATGGAAAAAGAGATTGATTTTCTTCGATCTTCCATATTGGTCTAGTCTTGATGTAAGACATTGTATTGATGTGATGCACGTGGAGAAAAATGTATGCGATAGTGTAATCGGAACACTTCTCAACATTCAAGGCAAGACAAAAGATGGTATTAATGCTCGTCTGGATTTGGTTTTGATGGGTATACGAGAAGAGTTAACTCCACAATATATAGGTAACAAGACATATTTGCCTCCTGCCTGCTACACTTTGTCTAAAAAAGAGAAAACAAGTTTTTGTTAGTGTTTACAAAGTATCAAAGTGCCGCATGGTTACTCATCAAATGTCAAGAGGCTTGTATCAGTTAAAGATTTTAAATTAGTTGGCTTAAAATCTCACGACTGTCATGTCTTAATGCAACAACTACTACCATTGGCTATTCGTGGGATATTGCCTAACAACGTAAGGAAGACTATAACTAGGTTGTGCTTATTTTTCAATGCAATTTGTTGTAAAACCATTGATCCACTAAAGTTAGACGATTTGGAAAATGAGGCTGCAGTTATCTTGTGCCAATTAGAGATGTATTTTCCTCCTTCATTTTTTGACATTATGGTTCACTTGATTGTTCATCTAGTAAGGGAGATTAGATTATGTGGTCCAGTTTTTTTACGGTGGATGTATCCAATAGAGCGATACATGAAGATTCTAAAAGGGTATACAAAAAACCCACACCGTCCGGAAGCATCGATTATTGAGAGGTACATTGCAGAAGAAGCAATTGAGTTTTGTTCTAACTATTTGTTAGGAGTGGATGTTGTAGGGGTTCCCAAGTCTCGTCATGATGGAAGATATGAGGGTGTGGGTACACAAGGTTTAAAAGTTAAGAGCTTAAGTATTGATGTGGTTGTTCAAGCGCATTTGTATATATTGAATAACATAGATGAAGTTCAACCTTACTTATATGCTCACAAAAGCATCATAAAGAAAAAGTACCCCAAGATGAATGAAAGAGGGTTGTTAAAAGAGCATAATAAGAGTTTCTTTGAGTGGTTTAAAGAAAGAATTGCTAATGAAGATAGTGTTTCTAATACAATTAAGTGGTTGTCTTACGGGCCTAAATGTAACATAATAACTTGGAGTGGATATGATATTAATAAAACCTCTTTTTATACAAAGTCAAAGGATGACCGTAGTACCACGCAAAATAGTGGGGTAATGATTGTGGCCGAGTCCATGCACTTCTCTAGTGCTAAAGATAAAAACCCGATTATGGCATCTACACCGTACTTTGGGGTGATTGAAGAGATTTGGGAAGTTAATTATGTTGTGTTTAAAGTTCCTGTATTTAAATGCAAATGGATTGATATCAACAATGGTGTCAGAATCGATGAATTTGGAGTTACACTGGTTGATCTTAGCAAGTTAGCTTATGCGAACGAACCATTCATCATGGCATCTCAAGCAAAACAAGTGTTTTATGTCACAGATCCTTCTAATAAAAAGTGGTCAGTGGTGTTACAAGCAAAGGTCCATGATAGTGATGAAAATCATGATGAGAATCTTGATATTTCTGAAACTCATCCTTTCTCAACAAATGTGACTACATTCATTGAAGAAAATGAAGGGGATGATGTGCATGCTATTTGCATAGACCATGAAGAAGGGATATGGGAGGACTAGTAAGATTTTTTGTATAAGTTAATTCTGTAAGTCTAAGACATAGTTTTTCTTATTGTTAAAAATGTGGGATATGTATATGATTCTG